GAGAGAGAGAGTGACGAGTTGTTAAACACCAAGTCAGTCAAAAATGTCGAGTAACCAAATGTCTGTGTGTGCAAACACAATGACATTGTTGTAGAAGTGTCCTACGTCAAAGCAACAGAGATTTATTATTTTATGTATTATTTATGTATTTGACCAGGACAGTGCACAGACTCTCAGCTGTAAATCTTTGTTCTCTGGGCAGAAACACAATAACATCTCTGTTAAGAAAATGAACACTGTAGTGTAAAAACACAATTACAATTATTTGTACACTAAACTAGCATCACCAAGACAGACCAAGCTGTCAAAGGTCAGGAGTTCCTCCTGCTGGAGGACGTTGCATTGATGGACACTTTGTTCATCAGTTGAGCAAGCCTTGTTTGCCCAGCTTGTGATGCAGTATGAGATGTGTACAAAGGGTTTGAGTGCATGTATCGTTTTGCTGCATCTTAGTGTAGCTGGGTTCAGATAAACCGAGAGTTCCTGAGAATGTTCGTGTTACACACCTGCGTCATGTGTTTCTTAAAGGACAGCTGTGAGTCAATAACAGTAACAAGATATTGTAAATCTGAAACAGTCTGAATCCTCTCACCCTCTACAAAGAGATCTGGTCGACTTTCATTTGTATTCATATAAAAGTAGATGCAAGCGGTTTTGCGTGTGTCAGGCAAGATTCTCAATTTCTATTGCTGAAGTTAATTTGGCTGCCACTCCATGTCCGTCTTTAACATGCACAGAAATCACAGTGTCATCCGCATACAATCTTTCAAAGCCACCAGCATTACCTCAGCTTCAGCCCACGTCATCGGTGTTGGAATGTAGTGGAAACAGCGACCGCTGCTCTCAGTCCAACCCTCGGAACAATACGCCAGATCACTCTCTGCTGAGAGAAATAGAGTTTGGATGTAGATATATAGATTTATATATAGAATAGAGTAATGTGAAGTCCAGTGAAAGTCTCTTCATGTAGAATATTTACATTACTGTATTAAAACAATTTATTTTGATGGTACATAGATGCTAAAACATGATATGACAATATATATATGTATATAGATCTATTGAAGTGAAAATCTAAAAGCTACTCACCTGATTGGTCGTTTTCCGGCATTCCCTCTGGAAGAGCTAGACAGTTTGACATTGCAGTTATTGATCTGGATTATTACTGTTCAGTGACAATAAATTAATCTGTAACAGTTTCTATGTATAATACTCACCAGCAGCTCGAGTCAGAGCAATCATGGCACAAACAAGTGCAGACACAGTCAGCGTCTTCATGGCGAAGGCAATGAGATGATGCAGATGCTGAAGATGAAGAGAACAAAGACAGATATATTACTTATGGATCTGTAGAGAACAAAGAAACTCACTGACTGTCAGACCAGTGTTGCGTTTGGTTTTATATCCTTCTGTGAATGTTTGTGCTTGGGTGTGTCTGTGTGCATGTGTGTGTATTCTGTGTCTTTTGACTTCTAGGTGCAGCTCTTCTTCTTCTTCTTTTGATTTTAACGGCGGTTGGCAAAGAACTTTTAAACTAGGTGCAGGAGAAAAGAAAGCCTGCGGGTGTTGGAGAGACCAGCACCACTTTATTGTTTTTGGTGCGGTAACCCTGGGGTGGCCCCTGGCGTGCCCGGGAAAGCCGACAAAGACTAGTTGAGGTTTAGCCAGATAGAACTACAGTTTCTTAGGTAGAGAGGAAACCAGGTAAGTCCAAGAATGGGTCAGTTTGAAATGTTCATTCCTCAGGATAGTATGTGGTGGCATTTGCCGGCCTTTGTTCTTCACACATGCTGAACGCTGTGTGAGTAGTAAGAGTGGAGAAATATTGTTGTGCACACTAGTGTTGGTTAAATGCTAGGCTGTAGTTTTGTTCTTCTTTGAACCCTGATTCGTCTGGCTGGCTTAGTAAGCCAGTGCTCATGCTTTCCGATTATCTGTGTGAGCTTCGTGTTCAGGTAGTCGCATGCTTCTTGCAGGGACTACATTTTGTGGAACCTACTTTCTTCTCAGTGGAGGTAGAAAAGTAGTGTTTAGAATTTCAGTGTATCGTAGGGGGAAGAGTACTGTTAACACTATTTCTATACTGTGTGGCCTGGAATAGTTCAGTAGCTGCTCTTGTATAGACAGCCTAGTGATTGGTGCATTTCAATGACTCTCTGATTTTGTGTAGGTAAGCTGTGCTGTTTGGTAGCACTGGTTCTGTGTGGTAGTGTTACTTTGTGTTAGTGGTTTGGCTTACTTAGGGGGAGCCCATTTTTGGGTGTGCTACCTTGTAGAGATTTGTTTCACATAAAGTTGTTTTTGTGATCTCACAATGAAGTCTGACTTTCAAGAGATCAGTGAAGGTCCTACAATAGAGCAGCTGGCTCAATGCACCAAAGCCCAGCTCATGTCTGTTGCAGAGCAGTACCACCTTGAAATTGCTCAAACTTCCCTGAAGAAAGGTCAGCTTAGAGATAAGGTCGTCACTGCACTCATTGAACAGGGAGTATTGCCCCGTGAATCTAGTCAGCTTGATGAGGCGCAGGGCTTACATGTGTCTGCAGGTTTAACTGTTGGGAAGACGGAACAAGTAATCTTGAAGTCTCAAGATGCTCAATCTGTACGTTTGCGAGAATTGGAATTGCAATTCAGAATAAAAGAGCTAGAGATGGATGCTAAGGAAAGAGAAGAAGTAAGGAGGTTTGAGATGGAGAGGTTGAGACAAGGACATGAGGAGAAAATGAAGGAGCTGGAGTTGAGGTCAAGAGCTGAAACTGAGCAGGCTAATTCTTATACAGCTAGTCCTCGTTTTGATGTAGCTAAGAACATGGCTTTAGTTCCTCATGTTGGTGAGAAGGAGGTAGAAAAGTACTTTTCCCACTTTGAGCGTGCTGCTACCACCTTAGCATGGCCTAAAGAATTCAGGACACTACTGTTGCAGTGTGTACTGACAGGTAGAGCTCAGGAGGCTTATTCATCTTTAACTCTGACCCAGAGCTCAGATTATGACATCGTTAAGGCAGCCATCTTGCGTGCCTATGCGTTGGTCCCTGAGGCCTACAGACAGATGTTTAGAGGGTATCGTAAGGTGGAGAAGCAGACATTTGTGGAGTTTGCTTGAGAAAAGGAAATCCTTTTCACTAGGTGGTTCACATCACAAAAGGTTGTGACCAAGGAGGAACTTCAGCAGTTGATTATTCTGGAAGAATTTAGAAATTGTGTCCCTGAAGTGGTGGCCACCTATCTGAGTGAGCAAAGAGTGACCAAATTGGAGGAGGCTGCTGTGCTTGCCTATGAGTATGTCTTGGCTCATAAAACAGTCTTTAGTGGCAAAACCGGTGAGACTAAGAGCTTAGCCTCTCCTCACACCTTTTGTTTAAGACCTGGAAGCAATGGGTCTCCTTCAGTTCCCATTAGGACTTGCTTCTATTGCAAAAAGCCTGGTCATTTCATAGCAAACTGTCACGCTCTCAATAAAAAGTCAGAAGGTACTAAGCCTGTAGGGCTAATAGTTTCAGTACCACAGCAGTTGCCCTGTGTAGATGGTCCTTGTCAGACCAATAAAAGACGCACTGAGCATGACTCCTTTGCACCGTTCCGTATGGAGGGTTCAATAGCAATTTCTGATTCTGAGAAGCTCATCCCAATTCGCATCCTTAGGGATACAGGAGCCTCTCAGTCCTTGTTTTTGGCAGGAGTTTTGCCTCTCTCTGAGAAGACCTCCACTGGTAGCAGTGCTTCAGTCCAAGGATGTGGGATGAGGTGAATTAAAGCCCCATAGCATGTTGTGTATTTGCAATCTGGGTTGGTTACAGGCCCTGTCGTGGTGGCGATTCGTCCCCAGCTTCATTTAGCGGGAGTAGACCTGATTTTGGGTAATGATTTGGCTGGAGGGAAGGTGTTTCCTGCTCCCCTTGTAGTGGATAGGCCAACAGGCTCCATAGTTGACAATTACCAGAGTGCTGATCTGTCATCTCGGTTGCCTAAAGTCCTTCCTGCTTGCATTGTAAATCGTGCCCAGTCAAGAAAGTATGAAGATGTAGTGAATTTATCTGAAGTGGCTCCAGCTGTTGACAGTCTAGAGGCTGATCCTGATCCTTCTGTAACTTCTGAGTTGCCTCTAGATAAGCTGTCCACTAACTCTGTTGGAAATGAGTCTACTGAAGTTAAATTGACCTGTCCTGTCACTGTGCCGGCTGGGCCTGACACACAGTTGAAGGTTGGCAAGGAACAGCTGATAGCAGCCCAGAAGGCTGACCCTCCTTTGGCCAAGTGTATGGCAGCAGTGTTGTCTAAGGATGAGAGTGGTACTACTCATGCCACTTTTACTGGGAGGTTGGTATCCTCATGCGTAAGAGGATTTCTTCTGTTAAAACAGCATGGTTTTGGATGACACCCTTATGGCTGTCATCTTAAGGAAGGGAGTGTTACGTATGGTTCTATGTCCTGCTGTGAATGTTTGTGCTTGGGGGTGTGTGTGTGCATGCGTGTGTATTCTGTGTCTTTTGACTTCTAGGTGCAGCTCCCTAACGAGTGCTTGAGGGCACCTGGATGAGGATGTGGTTTACCGATATAACCGCCTCCTTGCTCCGCCCTCGCTCTCTCTCATCTGCCTGGCACCAGACCCTGGTCTGCAGTGGGATCTGCACACTACAGTTTACTTGTGTCCTGTAAATAAACTGGCAGCTGTGGTTGTTTTTAACCTAACTTGGTCTTGAGTTCCTCCTATATGTTGCGACTCGCGAGCCGGTCGTAAAAAAACAGTGAAGTCAAAAGATGATGAGAAAGTTTGCAGCAAACCTGATACTGATGTCTGTAGCTTCAGCCGTCCTGTGATGAGGTGCAGAACAAGAGGAAGACTTAAATAAAGCCCCTTATCTTACCATCTCTCACAAAGACGGAACTGAGGACAGATGTGGGACTGTTGTCATACACAGAACAACATTTCTTAGTTGTTCAGATAAAGAGAAATGGAGAAGTTCGTATGGTGGCCGGCACATCACAGATAAACAAAACACGAGCAAATTAAGAAAAAAACTTCACCAATCTCACAACACACATGGGTCAAACCGGAGGAGTGTTGCAACAAACAAATGGACAGACAGATAGATGAATAGACACTTTATTGTCCCCATGGGAAACATGTGGGCATCCAAGACATGCAAACAAAATAAATAAACAAAGAATAAAGCTGTACAATGATACACACACACACCTTGAGGCATCAATGGTTTGTAGCCTTTTTGCCGATGACTTTCACTGCAGTCTGAATCAAATTTGATAACTCTGACTTATATATGTGGTCATTCCATATCTGATTACACTCTCCACAACAGCCTGACTGAACTCAAACTTACCCAGTCTACATGCATCCTCCAGTAAAGTATTATCAATGTGGACAACAAGTACTTAGAGGACAGGACTTGTGTACATGGCTGGTAATGTATAACCACTGGACTGTGATCACAAACTTCTTTGGGATCAAAAATAATCTCATGTGTTGTTGTATGTTTAAAATGAGGTGAGTTTGTTGCACTAATCAACAAACTCCTTCACACCTGGAAGACACATGTTTGTATCATCAGGCCTACAGAGCAGACTTAGCACAGCAGAACCATAGAAGTGTGATATCATAACTGAATCTTCAGATACTTTATAAAAAGACATCTTTTCATACAGTCATCCTTGTTTCACGTCGCAGTTATATGAGGGGCAGTTTGTACTGAGGAACCTTGAACGGCCCAAAGCTGATACAGTGACGGTGCTGGAGATAAAATGATAACTCTGATGAAATCATACCTCAACTTCTCTGTTGAAGTTATTTTCACAATCTTGTACTTCTCTGTAAAGCTCTGTGGCAGTGAGATACCGAGCTGTTGGTTAATCGATAGCCATCAGCAAGTCATGTTGTAGAACACACAGCAACAGTAGTTCACATCGAAGGCATCTTGTTAGCTCTCTGGATACTTTGTTGAAGACAAGATCAAGCATGCTGATGATTCAAACTAAACATTGTTCACTATGAACCATTGATATGCAGCAACGTATTCCTGAGGTCTTGTTGCTGCAGTGAGCTTGTCAGGTTTGGTGCCGTCACACCTGTACAGAGAACACAACAACATGCTTTCAGGGGGCGACTCCTCTGGTTGTATAGAAGTCTATGAGAAAATGACTCTACTTCTCTCTTGATTTATTACCTCAGTAAACATTGTAAAAATGAGTTTATGGTCTCAATCTCTAGTTTCAAGTCTTCTTCAATACAGCTTTAGGGCAATGGTAAATAGAGTTGTACTATATATATATATACACACACATACATATATATAAACACACACATATATATATATATATATATATAAATATATATTAGTGCTGGGCAAGTTAACGCGTTATAATCACGTTAACAC